TTGAGTGACAAACCCATTCTTCCTCTCGTCGACAATTACGAAGAAAACAAGATCGACGATACTCTTGCAACCACTTGCAAACTTCGCAACCTTGTTGCCAAGCGCAAATCAGAAGACTCTGACAATGAGGACAACTCTTCTATCAATTTCAATCACATGCATGGAGAAATCTCTATCTTGGGATTAGCGCGGTTGATGATTCAATGGAACCCTGTTCCGATTTTCATACCAAAGTGATGAATATATCTCACTAACTAGTAACAAGAATTGTTTGCAAACAATGAACTCTACGGCAAATTAGATTATTGCCTAGAAGCTGCTCAATTAGTCTCTGATGATCTATTTAGGATCGTTAACCTCGTCCGTGCCCCTCGTAAACTCGCAGGACAATGACCTCACCCCAATCGGTCCTATGTGATTTAACAAGCGAGAAAAAGCGGAAAACCAAACCCGTTACACTCCGTTTCTTACTGGATACAGAAGCATCCGGAACCATGATTGCTCAACCTCATGCTAAAAAATTACGCATGAAGGATCTTGGGGAGTCCAAACGACTGTGGCTACCCCTTGCAGTGGAATTTAAACCACCAGCACCCGAGTGCAAAGGCTGCATTTATGATTACTGAATTCCATGAAGATAGTATTATCGAGTGGGATTTAAACGTCATCAAGAGCTTGGGTGCGTATGAAATGATCATAGGTCAAGAAAATCTCTGATAGGATTCAATTTCGATTTCACTACCATGTCAGTGGAATGGACGGCATATCTATTCCAATGAAAGACAGCGACACAAATGAAGAAGAGAACTTCTTCATTCCTGATTCTACTGCTGTTGATGACAGTGCAGATCGTCTCAAGAAGATTCTTGATGCAAAATACGAACAAGCTGGCTTAAGGCAGGTTTGCCAGTCAAGATCAGTTAACACGGAAGAGAAGGAAAAGCTTCAATCCTTTACTGACGAAGTACTCAGACCTATTCGATGGTACTTTGGAAAGTGGCAGATGGACAAATACGAAGTAGAACTTCACCATGATGCTAAACCCTAACACGCTAGGGCTTACCCTAATCCACGTGTCCATACCAAAACTCTTAAAATGCGCAGAGTTTGGAACGTCTCTGCGACGGCAGGAGTACTCAAGGAAGTAAACCGTTCCGAGTGGCGGCACCAACTTTTATAATTCCCAAGAAAGATGGATCTGTACAATTCATCACTGATTTCCGGGAACTAAATAAAAGGATTAAGCGGAATACTTATCCTATCCCAAAATACAGGACATGCTCTTGTTAGTTGGATTCAAATACGCTACTAGTCTAAGCCTGAACATGGGATACTATCGCATCGAGCTATCACCTCAATCGAAGCAATCGACCATGTACATCCGTTGGGGAGGTACGAGTCCAAGAGGTTGCCAATGGGGCCTATGTAATAGTCCCGAAATCTTCCAAAGAAAGATGGGAACACTCATGCAACACTAGAATCACGTCCGTGCATACATTTATGATCTACTCATCCTAAACAACGGCGATTAGAGATCACGTTGAAAGTTGGATGAAGTTCTCAGGAGGCTTCGAGAAGCCGGACTAAGATCAATGCTACCAAATCCTTATTCGCAAGAGGAGAAATTGTCCTAAGTTACTGGATTACTCGAGAGGGATCCAACCTATAACCAAGAAAATAGCCGCGATCCAGAATATCGCTTCTCCTACAACAGAACAAGAACTCCGTAGATTCATTGTACTAGTGAACTATTATCGAGACATGTGGATTAGGCGATCACATGTACTGGCCCCACTCGCTTCCGTGAGGGCTTCCAAACATCGAAGTTGAAATGGGAAGCTGAACACGGCAAGGCCTTTAGCCAGCATGAAGAAGATCATCAGCCAGGAAACCTTGCTCGCCTACCACGACTTCAACGATACATTCGTTATCACACGGATGCGAGTGATACTCAAACTAGGTGCAGTAATTTCCCAGAGGGAAAACCTATCGCGTACTACAGAAGGAAGCTCACCCCTGCCCAGACACGTACACAGTTACCGAGAAGGGACTTCTCAGTATCGTAGGAACTCTAAAAGAGTTCCGTAACCATCTTCTAGGCACAGAAGATCGTAGTACTACGGACCACAAGAATCTTACAGTTAAGAACTTCAATACCGATCGCGTATTGCGATGGCTCCTTATTCTGAAAGAATACGGCCCTGAACTACGGGACATCAAGGGCGAACAGAACATCGTCGCTTGTGCGTTGTCGAGACTTAACATCTCAACAACGACGGTTCTTCAGAACAGCATGGCGAGATCGCTGAACTAATGGCTGCAGAAGAAGAGGATTTCCCTAGCGGGTTCCCTCTCTCGTTCCCCGAGATCGAACATCGTCAGAAAGACGACAACCAAATCAAGAAACTCCTCAGACACAAGCCAAACGACTACAAAAAACAAACTTTCCCCAGAGGGAGAATGTAGTAGAGACGTGCGGGCCTGCCTAAATCCTATGGTACGTAATTAGGGATGGCTTGGATTTCTGTACTGAGCGTAAACCTGATTCTTGTGGACTGTTGGCTTGTTGTTGCAAGAAGTTGTTGCTTGCCCGATTGTGGTTGATTGCAATGAGGGAGAGCTTCAAAATCTCGTTCGCGCAAATCAAAGGGAATCAGCAGTTCGATCATTGCCGATAGTCCCACGTACGACTCGGACGGTTGCTGCTCGCGTGGGAAGTGACTAGGACGTTGTCTGTTGTCGAGAATGGACTGAGCAAAAGTAATTGCTATGCTGAGCAAAGGATTATCAGCTCGATTTCTTCTGAGCAAACAGAATGAATTCCTTGTCTTCCGATTCAGTCGTTCGTCTTGGAATGCCTGCTAGGATGCTCGTTGCGACTGACAGATGCAGTTCCTATTCTATTCCTATGGACAGGTGTTAGATCGGGGACTATTTCTTGTAGTGGCAAACAGCGTCTCGATGGGTGAAACAAGACAACTCGATATCTTCGAATTTTCCTGTTGTTGTTTGTGATTTGGTTGTTGGGTGATTGGCGTTTTGGATAATGACTCCTCTGTAGAAACAGTACCAGGGTATACGTGGAATAACTGGAATTCTCTGGAATCGCAATCACTGTACGTTGGCTTGGAGGGATCTTTGTGGGGATGTAACTTTTTGAATATAGCTCTGATTGACTTACTTCCAAGCACAATAGTGCTTGTCTTGATTAGCTGGACACAGAGATGATAATAGTTTATGCTTTTGTTGGTTTGGTTAGTAATCTGTATTTTGTAGTGACAGATCCAGTGGCGGGGCTCCACTTGGTTTCGGTTCCGCTTGGAAAAGTCAATGGCTACTAAGTTGGGGTTGTACTTGAGCCATCGGAAGGCACCACTAACATCATCATCCCCAATTAGGATTTCCAAATGGGGATAGGTAAGATGCTTGTTATACATGTCGACCATAAACGGGATTTCGGCTGCCGCATGGCAAATAGCTGATTCCGTGTCCTTTGACGTCCAGTCATTGATCGCATTGCACCATGGTTGCGGGCGGAAGGAGCTATCAAAGATTGGCCGAGGCTTCTTGTGGGGCTGGTGCAAGTCCACCATTCCTTGAGGGGTCAGATGGCAATTGAGGACGAACGGGACGAAGCGTCGGTCAAAGGGGGCAACAAAACCCTTCTTAGCATCCTTGACCAAAGCAGCACGGGTCTTGGCAGGCGCCTCATCAACAGTCTTATGGTTGCCGTACTTGAGGTACGCCTGGAAGTTGGCCCCAGTACTAAATGCAGAACAGTACTGGGGGATGCCTTGGTGGAGGATAGAGGAGAAGCAACGGTAGGTGGCTGGCTTGAGCATGGGGCGAACCCGCGCCAACGCCATGGGAATGTCCCGGTGGGCACCAACGTAGGGTCCACCCATCCACCAGATGAGGGACGCAGCACACACATCACAGTACATGAGGGCTTTGGTGGTTTTGGCCACTTGTTCCAAAGAGATGTCGGTATCTGCATCCCAGTCATCCTTGGGAAAACCTCGAATGTCCCAGAAGGGGAGTTCACGGAGCTCAGATCGAAGTTGGAAGAAATCACGGAACATAGAAGAGGAACGGGCCACGGAGGTCCAGCCCTCATCAGTTTCCGGGAGGAATTCAGACCGAAGCACCGGGAGGAGGACATGACGAAACGCAGGCTCGGTGACAAAAACTTGGCTGACAGATTCCTTACCGAAAGGCTGGTTGATCAGGGCTTGGACCCGAGGGGACACATGCGCCTTGATCCAAGCTTCACGTTCATACTTGTCTTAAGCCTGAGTGCCGGGCACTGGCATAGATTCCGTGAAACTCTGGATACTGCGGTTGAGTGGGGAAAACTGGATAGCCCGAGCTGGACCCGGCAGTTTCTGGGGCCTGACGGTGTGGTAGCCGGGGTAGCTTGGTGGGCACGAGCAACTCCGGAATGGAGACCTGAGGGGTTGTGGCGATGATGGGTGCAGGGACCTCATCGTCATCATCAGGAGACAGAGGGTAGAAGTAGTCATTAGACTGGTGTCGGGAGGAGGCAGCCGATCAAGGTGCAGGGAAGGAAGCGGGGGCGCAGTGGAAGTTGGAGGGGCTGGGTCTAGTGTAGAATCCGTGAAAAGCAAAGCTGAGGGGAGTCTGGCTAGGACTAGAAGCATAAGGGCGAGAAGAAAGTTATTAGAAACAAATATAGTAAATGGGGAAAATCCAGAAGCCTAGGCAATAAACTGGGACAACAGCCGCGGCAAAAGGTCTAGGACGAGGGATTGGTCCTACCAGCTGGGCCCCTGCCTGGGGCAAATCTAAGGTGCTCATGGGAGCCAACAAAATTCTTCAACTGGCCTTGCTGGGCCTCAGGGAGGCGGTTGAGCCCCATAACATGGGCTCGGTTACAACCCCGGCGGAGGCAAGCAAAACCACGGCAGGCAAATGGCATGCAGATTTTCTCATCGGCAGAAGCTCCAGGCATGCGGGCATAAACGGGGCAATTAGGAGGGTTACAAATGGAAGGTCCCAGTGTATACCAGGAACCCTTTCTGCTTATTGGCTTCACTAGCAGCAGGGGAAGGGGACGACTCAGGCTGAGTACGCTGTCGCTTCGTAGCAGGGGTCTGGACTGGTGGAGTGCGAGGTCCTGGGGCAGCCGGGGGGGGTTCCGCAGGGGTCGCATGGCGCCTAGATCCATGACGCATGAAATGACTCATGAGCAGGGGAGTAAGCTTGTAGTCCATGGGGTCTCCTCGTTGGATAGCAAGACGGGCATTCTTCTGATAAGATTGGACAACTTGATGGCAGTGGTCAAAGATACGGGGGGTCAATGACATCACAACCGTGGAGGGCCGCGATATACTCCTGCCTGGTGCTGGTGGAACCGTAGGTGGAGCAAACATCGAACTGTTCCATGAAGAAGTTGATGGATAGTTGCGGCATGTGTCCAAAGGCGGAGGTCCAGCGCTTGGATGGGCCTGCCCGGAAGAGGTAGATCGTCTCGATACGGTCGTTGAAAAGGAAACTCTGGTCAATGTCCAAAACGATGGTAGACATGACGCAGCGGAAGTTGCAAACAGCCTTGAAGGCATCTTCTATGGAAGTCAAGGTGCCTCCAAGGAAAAGGAGCAAGGCTTTTATGGGGGTCTAAGGGTCCTTTTCTGTGAAAGCAGCAACTGACTGGGCGAACTTGAGTCCAGAGAGCTCGAGATCACGGTAGGCCACGCCAGTAGCATCAACCGAGAGGAAAGGGAGCAGCGACAACTGGTGTTTGAGGGGGTCAACAGACGTAACGGTGGCATCGGTGAAGAAGTCGTAATTCCGAATAGCCTCAGACATAGCAATGTTGCACAAATGCTTGGGGAAATCAACTAGGGCATCAAGGTATTGGGTGCTGGCTGCAGCCGTTTCAAGGGCTGCTGCCACCATTTCTTGGAGGGAACGGGCCGCCGCAGCAGAGGAACGCTTGGTAAAGAATGGTCCAGCCGCCGGGGTAAGGGTGGCGGGACGAAAGACACAAGTTGTACCATCAGCACTAGGAACAACAGAGCCCAGGGCAATCTGCCAATGGGTCATGACCTCTCTGGCCACCTCCTCAACTTCTAGTTCTTTCTTGGAGGACCGGTTGACAGACTTGGCGAGGACATCGGTGATACGGCCTACTTGCTCAATCATGATGGTGCTAGCACCAGGATGAGCGGCAGCACCCGGGGGAGCGGGAGGGGCGTCAGCAGCCATCAGGGAACCTTGGTGGTGGTAGATACCATCACAGAAGTCCGTAAACGACGACTTGACAGCCAAGTACGGGGCAGTATCGACCAGGAGCATATCCACCGGTGCTGTCACATGAGGAACCAGGGGGGGTTGGCTGCGGTGAAGTCTTCCTCAATAAAGGGAACATGGAAGAGGGGTCCCCCTTCCACAGTCACCGAGAAGCCTTCGTTGTACAAGAAGTTGTAGTGGACCGTGTCGAGCCAGAGCCGCTGGAGCGGGGGGACCGCATCCGGGACCTCAAATGCATCAGCCAAGAAATCCAGATCCAACGGGAAGGGGGCCCCAAATGGCCAAGGGACAATAACGGGCATTCCAGCAAACACTAGGCGTTGGTTGGGCCGCGTGATGCTGTCAACGCCGAGGCGGGCATGGGAAGGCTCAGCCATGTCGACTTCAGTGCCACCAGGCGGGAGCGCACCGGGGACGTCATCGGGGGCCTGGGATTCAGAATGCAAATCGTTGAACTCCTCAACATTTTCCTTGGAAAGCAATGTAGAGAAGATGGACCGAGGGAAGTGTAGGGGAGCTTGACAGGGGAGGACTCGTCGAATTGTCAGACAGACTGCCGAGCATCCAAGAGTCACCATGCTCATCCGTGCAGGGGATGAGGTTGATGACCAAGCGGGGAGCATTGCCAATCACAATGGCAAACTGGTGGACGTTAGACGAGTTGCCAAGGATTTTCTCATGAACCTCAGGATCAATACGGTTATCCACAGTGGTGTTGAGGAGGTGGATGTTCTCTTGGGAATGGGGAAGAGCCGCCGAGATAAGACGATTGGGATGGCCACGGCCACGAGCAACAATGGCTTTGAGGGCGGGAGTGTTGAAATGCATGGTAGCAGGAAACGGAGAGTTGGGCAGATGAGAGGATGCTTTGCAACTGCTGGGGTTAAAGACGGCGAAGGTGCTGAGCGGGAAAGGTAGTTCGAAAGGGTCGAAATTGCTGGTCCAAGTCTCACGAGATGAGAATTGTGAGAAGAAAACTAGGGAGACAGCTGGGGAGGAGCCAGAGGCGATCGACCAAAGATCGTCGCAGTCGTCAGAGAGGGTGACGATACCACCACCACCTTGACAACAGGCGACAGGTTGAAGAACGGAGGATACAGTGGGGGAAAGCGGGGAAGAGTACCAGGGAGAGCACACACGTCTGACTACTCAGCAGTGCAAACGGACCAAGAGTAAGAGGGATTGGGCCAATCGAGAGACACCAAAGGTGGGCAACGCCCAAAATAGAAGTAGGAGGGTCCGAAGGAGTAGGAGGGCCCCCCAGAACAAACAGCCAAAGGGTACGGCCCTGGGCGGGTGCTAGGAAGAGCAAATAAGCTGGAAGGATATGTTCAACCAGGGCAAATCTCGAGCAGGGCCTAGGGCCAAGCAACAAAGAACAAGACAGATGACAGAATCGAGGAAGGGCATCAGGACAACAGAGGGCTACGTAAGCCCATACTAGTAGAAGAGGTACTATACAAGTATACAGGTAGGTAGTGACCCGGTACGGGGCTGGGGAGCAGTAGTAGTACATCGGGGTTGGTAGATGTCGCTACTTCTGAGGACAAGCCAATACCAGGAGGGCCAGTGGAGCTGACACTCGAGTGTGTCAGTAGAATGGAGCGCAGACCAATGACAATCCAAAGGAGAGGGAAGAATCAACAAGAAAGAAGAGGATCCAATAAGTGGGCCAAATGCTTGGCTAAGCAGAAAATAATTCACGGGCCAATGAAAGGGGCCAGAATCTGGATATCAAAGCCCAAATCGGCCCAAGGTCGGCAGGCGTTTGGAACGAGGGAAACCCGAGAGAGATAAGGGCTATTAACGAAAGACTATTGAAGAATACTGGACTTCTGACCACTACCTTGCCCCTGCAAGACTGTCCCCTGAAACATTCCAGCTGGTCGAATTGGGAAGTATGCGGAAAGCTGATGAAAACTCTACCATTGGGCATGCGCAGGTGGTGTACCAAACACGCCTCTGAGAACTGTGGAGTGGGCATTACCCTCAAACACTGGCAAAAACAGGACGATGACCATTGCCCACGCTGTGGAGCACCAGAAGACACTACTCATGTCCTACAATGTCATGCTGAGGGATCTGATGAAGTCTGGAGCGCTCACTTGCTAGAGCTGGCCTCTGCTTTTGGAGAGCTTCACACCCCCCTTGACCTTCACATAGCACTAGTTGACCGCCTGAACAGTTGGCGCAATTCCCTCCCATTGCTCCCCAACCCCCAGTGGGATGCCACCCTTACTCAACTTATCGTCTCCCAAGACCGAATCGGATGGAAGAACTTCTTGGAAGGTCTCCCCTCCATTCGTTTTGCCCAGTATATGGATTCCTTCTACAAACGCGAGGGATACTCCATCACTGGTACCACTGGACTTCCAAAATCCTTCGCAAAACCCACATGATGGCCTGGAGTTTATGGGAACATCGGAACAAGATTCTACACGACGACAAAATGCCCCGTCAGAAACTAGCCCTCAACCTGTTACACCACGCAATTGCCACTGAGTATATCAAAGGTACCAGGGGACTCCCCTCCTTTTATCACAACTACTTCAAACACTCACTCATCTCTCTCCTCACCAAACCCAAGCCCTACAAACAGTCTTGGCTCCAAGGGATACATACTATACGCGATAGAGAAACTAGACGCGCCCACCAAATCACTGAAGACAGAAGGCATTCAAGATTATATCAATGGTGTGCCACGGGCCGACTCTAGCCTCTCCATCTCCCATCCCTCGAACCACCTCCTCAGAACCAACAACAACATTAGAACATGGCCTTAGCGTGCCACACTCCAAGGAAGGCCTTAGCGTGCACTCCTACAGAAACCAACATTGAATGGAACACCCTTAGGGGCCTTAGCGTGCCCGTGACCCTTCTACTCGAACAAAGGGGCCAGTAGCGCCCCTTGTCATTCTGAGTGAAGTAAAAGCAAGCCCTCGGCGCAGTAGACAAAATAACAACTACTAATCTTTGTGACAAACAAAAAAAAGCTATTAACGAAAGACTTAAGGGAAGGCGGCAGGAGCTGAAATTTCCAGGAAGTAATGGACCCCCTATGGTGGCAATGCCGAGAGAAGGAATGGCAACGCTGCTAAGGGAGGAGTGATCAACCATCGGAGGGATCAATAGGAAGTGTCAACAACGGTCACGAGGACCAGATGGACAGGAGGGGGAGAAAGGAGGGGCCCAAAGGGACCGAGTGGAGGGAAAGGTAAAAGAAGGAGGGACGGATCTGGAGCAATGACAATGCAAACCAGCCGAAAAAGGAGACAGGGAGTCCAAGAGAAGACAAATGTCAAACAGGACGGGAGGCAAGGAGGTAGATAGGAATTAAAGGATAGGATACAGGAAAGAAAAAAGTTCAGATAGACAGCCATAGGGCTGCAGTTGGCATGGCCAACATCTCCATTGACAGATCCATCAGGTGACAAGAGTGAGAGCACTGCTTGGATTGCCTGGTTGGTCTGTCATCTGCCACTAGTTCTGGTTGAGCGGTGGTGACATCAGACTCCAGACCGACCAGTCTGTGGGACTCATCCCCACCTCCTGGCTGGCTTAGAGTCTCGTCTACAATGAACGCAAACCACAATACTACTATTTTACTATAGGTCTGTACCATGGATTGTAAACATGTTACATTATTCCTTCTTTTTATTACGCCTGAACTGAGTAGGCATGTGTCATGAACTATTGAAAAGTACACTATTACTATATGCTTTTCTTCAATGCAGGATTCAAAATACAGGCATACATCTTCAAGAGGAAACCTACTATTGCCTGTACACGAATCGAATGTCATAGTAGCATGACTCAATGCCACACAGAACACGAATCCTGCATAAGCACGCCTTTGCACCCCTTAGAGTATTTTACTATATATATTATTGTAAACATCTACCAAAATATGCAGTCACGCTTTTTATACTCTTTTACTATACAAATATACCTCTGTGCAGGATTGCTGTTCCGTTTGGTGATTCGATACATGTTTCAGATGTCACGCCTACTTATGCGTGTGCAGGATTCCGTCAACTAGTTACTTGAAAGATATATGGTGGCTAGTTCGAATCCTGCATACCAACCTTTTTGCACCCATAGCACATTTTACTATACATAATGCTGTGTGATTCTACCTGGAAGCGCAGTCACAAATTCTCGAAATGATGTTTTTCTTACATGTATTATATATGCCTGTGCAGAATACGAATGTCTTGTTATTTACTATACTAAGTACTGTACGAATCTCCCAAATCGCAATTCGAAAAGGAATTTGGTACCGTTCATGCAAACCACTGTGCGAATCTATAGTAAAATAGTACGATTGTGCTTTGTCAACACGGCACCGTGCTCTATCTCGCTAGCTAGCTAATTTATGCAGGTTTCCACCGCTTTCTCTCTCTTTATCTCTACCCTTTTTCTTTCAATAAAATAAATTTACTACAAAATTCCATGCTCCTCAGTGGCTCCCCCTAGGGTCGTTATTCCACTACCGTTCCTCTTGCGCGCTCCACTTGCTTTTCCTATGTGTGACATTGATGGGTTGATGTGTGACTTTGTTTGGGGATAGAGTGTGAGTTGATACAGGATGTGAGACATTTTCCCATGTATGTTTTCTTACTAGTTTCAAAGCTTCTCTCATTATTCAAATTTGTGGAAAAGCCTCACTTAATGTTTTTCATCGGTGGTGGAAGGGCCCTTAACATCGGTTCCTCCAGTGCCCATAAGAGAAAACATCGGTTCCACTAGTGCCTTAAGAGAAAACATGGTATACCAATGTTATCCAATTGATGTTTCGTAGCTATCGTTCCACAATGTTCCAAACATCCTAAGCTCATCGACAGGGGATGTATGAGTTATCGATACACAATGTAAAAAGCCCGAAGGATATTTCAGATGGATCAGTGGGACGAGTGGTCGAGGCCGAAGTCGACTACCTCGGCAAAAGAATGTTCAGTGCTATCGTGCAAGGATGGGAAGAGGCTCTCGGTATACAATGTCTACTCTGTTTGCAATACAGATGTTGCCAGAGCTGGTGACAGAACCGTGATTGCCCAGCTTCACGCCATCTATGTGCAGGAGGAACGCCCAGGCCTGGATCCAAAGCGCAATCATTATGCGGATTTGCATGAGTGCGTGCAAAAAGATATTTCAGCAGGGCATCAGATCATTCTGACCTGGCAAACGGCAAGAAAGGAATGTCCAGACTCGTCGATGAGATTTCGGGAGGTCTTTCCTCGGGGAATAACCTCTCTAAATCTCTTCCTCAGATCTCAGCTGGTAGATGGCAGTAAGGGAGCCTCAACTGGCCTTCCTCTGCAGGAGGATGGCTCTCAGTCAAGGACTTGGCCAGTGCCAGATTGGGAGATCACTGGTTGGTGAGATTCTCCCTTCACTTGGCTCTCAAGGCCAGCTCCTCAGAGCTGGCTGCCAATGCTATTCAACCACTGAGCAGTGTTGGAATGGTTGAATCACTACTATTTACCCTAACATGGACCACCCATGATGTTCTCTATTGCACATCTGAGAACTGAAATCGGACGTTTTCACTTGGTGTACGACCACCCCCAACGTCGTCTCACCATGCAATATTGATTGATGTTGGAAACATGATGTCACGACAGCGAAACATGGTGGGATAATGTCTATACACGATGTTAACTTTGCGCCGCATGATGTGTGGACATGGATAGGGCAAGAAAGCTCGTTACATCACGACAAGTTGACATGGTGTCCACGAAGTGTGCACTTGGTGATGTCACAAGGGGGTAACACTATACCAAGTGAAGTAGTGGAGGAATGCAAGATAGGTAACAAGTCCATAAGTCGAGTACTTGGTGGATTCAAAAACGACTTTGAAGGGACTGTTTGATTTAAGGTTACAATACTAGGGTCTTCTAAGAAAGTAGGGCAATCAT